GCGACCACCTTCTCGCACTTGTCGCTGACCTTGTGCTCCCATGTCTCCAAATTCTTCAAAGCGTATGCCGAAGACAGAACTTTGCGCTTCCGGGCGTGATCTGGCTTGTCCACGACATCGGCCAAATGATAATGAGTGCCTGCCGTGATGACGTACGACGGGTCCTTGATGCACTTGGTGTTGTGTCCATAGATGTCCTTGATGGCGCGCACGTCTCCGTATGACAGCATATTAGGGCCTGTGCGGATAACGGGCTTCTCCCGGTGTAGCTCCATCAGCTCGCGAGAGCGGAATCCACGTGAAGCCATGAACATGAAGGGGATTACAGACATCCCTGAGATGGGAGTCAGATTAGGATATTTCCGCAGCCCTTTAAAGAGGTTAGCGGTTATGAACCTCGACGAGTTTTGTGTCCCTGATGCCTACCTTTCGAATCGCGGAGGTACTGCATAAATGGCCAAATGAAAAGATACAAGATGCCTACCAGCCCGACCACAAAAGCATACGGCGCAACGCTGAACATAGACAACATATCGGTGGCCATGGTTTCCACCGTTCTCTCGGTTGAAGAAGGTCTGTAAAATGAAGAAAGGGTGATCGAGCCCCAAGGGGAGACTAGTTGTCTGCGAAGATCAAGCCCGAGTCAGATTGTATGCCAGCTGGTTTGCTTGCCAGGGTGCTGGGAGGTGCTACTTATAACCTCAGAAGCAAGAAGTGGCATTCGCACAGTTTTGAGTATCCGACGAGGTGCTGAGCATCTTGCTGAAATCAGAGACCGACTTGCCCGTACGGTGAAACCATGGGTGAGTACCACAAGGGTCTCGCCTGTGATGGGGTAGATGACCATGTCATCATCTACTGTCTCCTCTTTTCTTCTCCACCTTCACTTTTCCGAACATCATCGCCATCGTTCCCGAACGCAAGCAGCAGGTCGGGGAAAACTACCCTTCGTGGCAACCAGCAAGAGCGGGAAAAATTTCCCCCTTGAATTTGACACACTCCGGGATAAAAAGCCTCGTTGAACTCAAACAACGAATCAAAACCAATCCACCGAGGCCGGTTTCTTCAAGAGCGGAAGGCATATCCTTGGTCGAGGTCCAGTCCTGGTTATTGTCTCCCTGGTCCTCCAAAGTCCTTGATCGACAAAGAGGATCCAGGCGGCATTTGAGAACTATGACCCTGATTGGCGAAGCAGCGAATAAAGTCGCCGCGATATAGAGCAAGTAACAGGCATCTGGGGAAATCCGGGGTATTCTGTCTACCATGGAACCGTGCCGAGCCATGAAGCAATACCCGAAACTTTCCCCCATCTGAGGGGGAATGAACATGGGTACTGTCAAGAATGTCGCTGCCCCCTCACGACCAGCCAACGATGCTCAGCGTAAATAAGCCCGAGGATTTCGTCAATCTGGTCTATTCCTATTTCTGGTCGAGGTGTCTCTGCGCCGAATGTAGATTGATCCGTTGGGATTGTTCAACCTAGACTGCTCAGGAGCACACAGTGTTCTACTCTACCCTCATTCTACCATGGCTGCCGCCGAAGAACTTCCTAAAAAGTCATCAAACGACGAGTTGAAGCCACATGTGTTTCATGACGAGAACCTGGTGGTCAGTAACGGCCTAGATGACTCTATTGAGTCAACGCTGCCGGGCAAAGCTATCTGGTTGATAGCGTGCACTGTCTCTATGGGGGGATTCCTCTTCGGTGAGCATGATATCCAGTATCCCGTTGTGTTGTTCGGCAACGGCAGCAATGGAATTATTTCCCTCTCCTGAGCTTCAGGCCCCCTTGCGTTCAGCAGATGTACTGACCACTTCTTATCGGGGCTATTGCAGGCTACGATACTGGTGTCATTTCGGCCGTGCTTGTCAATCTGGGAGATGATTTGGGCCAGACAATTTCGTCCAGTGATCAGGAATTGATTACTTCTATCACGTCTGGAGGGGCCCTCATCGGCGCGGTCCTCGCCGGCTTGACTTCCGACAAGTATGGGCGCAAGCTAGCCATCTACGTTGGCTGTGCTGTCTTCTTCGTGGGGACGGTCTTGCAAGTTGCATCATTCTCTCTGGCACAGATGGTGGTTGGTCGATTGGTCGTTGGCTTTGGTGTAGGTGAGGCAGCCATGATCGTGCCTCTCTACATTGGAGAGATGGCTCCGGCCCGGTATCGCGGTCGAATGATCGTGTTTGACAACATCTGTGTGACATTTGGACAACTCATTTCCTATGCCCTCGGAGCTGCGTTTACCAACATCTCCCAAGGATGGCGATACACCATTGCTATCGGTGCTGTGCCGGCTGTTGCCCTCGCGGCTACAATGCCACTCTGCCCTGAGACTCCCCGACAGCTGGTCTCCCATGGCCGAGACGAGGAAGCCAGAAAGGTCATCGCGCAGATCTTTCCTCGGGCAACGGATCAGCAGGTTGCCGCCAAGATCCAGGTAATTCGACATAGTATTGAAGAGTCCTCGGTATCGGTGTCAGAGAAGAGTCTGTGGTGGCAGGCCAAGCAGCTCTTTACCGTGGGAGAAAACTTGCGCGCCTTGATCACTGCCTGTTCCGTTATGGCCGGTACGTCCTTCCCTTGTCTCCTGGCCTTGGAAAGTCCACGCTGACGCACGTTAGTCTCACAACTCGGAGGATTCAACACGTTAATGTACTACTCTGCCACACTTTTCTCCCTGGTTGGTTTCAACCAAGCAACGGCCGTATCCATTGTGGTTGGGGCAACAAATTTCATCTTTGGCTTTCCCAACTTCGCCTTCATTGACCGATTTGGCCGACGATTGATGCTGCTGGTCACACTTCTAGGGATGGTAAGCAGTATCTTTTGCTGACTTCACTTTTGCGTATCTTCTTGCGTTCCTGACGCCAAGCCATCTATAGTCTCTCTCGCTGGTTGTCGTTGCCGTCGTCTTCCATTGGATCCCTGTCAACTCGGACCTCAGCTTTTCCGGCCCTCGTGAGATGACCTGGGCAAGTATCATCCTGCTGGTTGCCCTCATCATCTACATTGCCTTTTATTCTGCCGGCGTCGCTCCCATCTCATGGGTCGGCACCGAGTTCTTGCCGCTAAAGGTGCGGGCTCTCGGGACCATGGTCAACACTGTCACATGCTGGGGCTGTAACATTGTCATCTCATCGACGTTTCTGTCAATGATGAAGGGCATGACTCCAAGCGGAGCCTTTGGCTTCTACGCGGGGATATGCTTCCTGGGATGGCTCTTTGCGGTCTTCTGCTATGCCGAAGTGCACAATATGCCCCTGGAATCAGTGAGGGAGATCTACACGGACGGCTTCGGAGTCCAAAAGGCCAAAAAGATCCAGAGACAATTGAGGCAGATGCGGCAAGATGAAGAGCTCGCCAGACAGACAGAATAAGCTTCCCGAGCCGGGGATGCTACACCCTTGACTAACTTGCATCATGCGATCCCCACGATCAATCCGAAGTTGAACCGCCATTGACAGCGTTTGCCGTGGACACACTCCTGGGGAGGTCACGACTAGTTATTTGCAGCAGCATCTACAGCAGACCTATCGAATCCAAGCGCGGAATCTGCGCGACCGGGGCGCTCTGCGCAACAGAATTTTCTCATGCACTAGATTATGGCAGCTCTTTTCTTTTTTTTTTTCCTAATCTCAGGTGGAATGTCAGGTACACGCAGCGAGTTTCTTGTTTCTTCCTCCACTTCTTCCCCTTCCTTCTATCTCTTGTCCGCAGTACACTCACCATCTTGTATTCTATTCCTTCTCTAGGCCTACTCACGATTTCATGACATTGATGATTCTATCGAGCAGTTCACACATCTCTTTCCGTTCAATTTCCCCTGCATGTACGAATGGTATGGACGTGCAGTGCATACTATACTTCACTTTTCACTTCCACCCATGTAATATCGCTATACTGTACATTTACTGTACGTTAAGCGGCGCAGTCGCCGCACACCGGTTGATGTATGTAGTTGCAATAGCTAGCAATCATCTTGCACTGGTAGCCAACATGTTTCAGAAGCACATACCTCTCGCTGTATAAGCAGTCGATGGGTCCAGCCAGCGTGACCAGTGCAATGTTTTCACCCACAAGCTGGGTGCAGTAGCTATCTCCGTTCGGGAGAACATCCAGCAGAAGAAGAGACGTCTTCCTTATGAACTTTCCGCCAAACGTGGCAAGCTCCCAGGCATAAATTGCTGCGCCGCCTGCAGCAAGTAGGGTTCTTGCTGCCCCGACCACCGCTTCTCAAGGCCGGGTCACATGTCATTATGTCGTTCACTTGCACATGACCTATTGCCACAGGCCTCTGGGCCCTACGTTGTCGATCGGTCTCTCTCTTACCAAGCTACTCAACTCAACAAGCTATACTCGAACCCCAAGGAACTACAATCAAAGGCTGGAAATGGAAACCCATGGAGTTTTAGATACCCATACATGTAAGATAAAACAAATGCGCAAAACATGAACACCAGGAACCGACTCCAGTCAGCTGGGTCCCTGGAGATGCAGGAATGGAGAGAAAAGACGATGAAAACAAATAAAAAAAGGGCTGGGCCATAAACAGTATAATCCAAAATTCTCGTCATAGGAAATTCGTGACATCATGGTCGTTAAATATAGCCGGTCAGAAACAATGCGCAAACCAACACAATGACCAAAAACCACACACCAGAGCGCTGACCATCCCTATTGTCCCCCGAACCCGCACAGACACAGTCCTCATGATGACTGTTTTTCGCGGCAACCCACCATGCAAGAACCTCATGCGTAAACCTTCCAGACAAAAGACATTAAATGATTGAAAGTTTGGATTTCGACGGAGGCCCACAAATGCATGCATATTCCCCTAGCCTACCGAATCATTACCTGGGCCCAGCCGGGTACAGGTTGTCGCAGCAGACACTCAACAAGCCGAATAAATGCTTCTTCGGTGGTGGCAGTGAGAGACCCCAACAAATGGTGGTGCAAGCTCAGAGCAACCACGCCGAAGAGAAGGTCTATTATAAAGGCGAAGAAAGCGAAACCCCCATAGTACACGCCATTAGAGAGAGAGACCCTTCAAAGAAAACATTTTGTCTTTTCTCCAAAGAAAAGATCGTGCTTTTCGTGATTGAATTTTTCCTTTTTTCTTTCCCTCTTAATTCGCGATTGTGTCTCCCTTCAGGGCCCGCACCGGTCACCGACGACGAGGCATGACACCCCCTGCCTTCATGGGCTGCAATCCAAGAGCAGCACCGCCAACAGGCCCTCCGACAGAGGTCTCGCTAAGCGTCTTACGCCGCTTGCTCTCAAAGTCGGGGCCCCGACTGTCAGGGCGGGCAATTCGGTCCACCTCGTCATCTTCCCTCATCCGCTTGGTGGAACCGATCGAACCATTGAGACAATTTGAATATCCCGAGGTTGGATTGGGGACCGAGTAATTGTCCGAGGTGGCACCGTTGTTAGACGTTCCGCGCGTGTCGCTGACAATGTTGTAGAGACTACTGGCAGCCGCAGGGCGCGGGGGGGTACTGTACCCAGAGCCCCATGGCGGAGGACCACCACTGGTGCGCGGGGTCATTCTTCCGGAGCCGTTCTGCTGTGTAGGAGAGCCAGTGATCTCGGGTGTGAGCTGAGAATGGTCTCCGGTTAGGCTGCCCACAGATGGATTGGTGGTATAGGTGTAGGAACCGCGGCTGGTATTGTAGCCGGAATTGTCATGCTGCACGTATTCCGACTCATGCTCCGCAACCGATTCATTTCCAGCGCTGGTCACATGCCCATTGCTCTGGGTATACCGTTCGGGCTTGACATCAGTCGACTCTCCTTCCGGCTGTGCGCCCGGCGTACGGCTTGAGGGCGGACCCATCTCACTCTTCAGATATGGCTCGCTCTTCAGGTACGGTTCACTCTTCAGGTAAGGGGTAGAGGACATCGTCTGCCCGTAGGGTGCCATGCCACTCGGTTGCGATGCATAGTGAGGGTGAGAGGACGGCGCCGCAGAGTAATAAGGCTTGGAGTCGTAGCCTGGCTGACCCTGAAACGATTGCATTCCTTGCATGTTATTCCCTGGTGGAGTTGTAGCTGGTGTGGTTGGCATCGAGCGGGCGTTGCTCAAAGCCGTGTCAATGGAGAGAGGCTGAGAGTTGGGCACACCTGATGGCATTCCCTGGTTGTTCCAGTCGTATGAGGTGTTGGAGTTGGTAATACCCATGAGACTCGAGGCACTCGCAGGAGGAGTGGGGAAAGTATGAGCCCGGTCAAGCCCCGGCCTTCCACCTTGTTGCGAGGCCACTGTGGGGGGTTGAGCCATGTGCGACGGCACACCAGCTTGCAGAGAATGATGATGATGATGTAAAGTAGGCGGCTGAGGCCCCTGAGACGTACGTGCGGCTGCTTGAGAGCCCTCCATGCGCCGCTGCTGAGACTCTTGCACAACTAGATTAGTTCTGCTTGTGTTTGTCGGGTGATACAACAGTCCCCCAATGTTGTGAACAAACAACGGATACAGCAAGTCTGTAATTTTCTCCTTGTTAGCGAACTCGAGGGCCCGCTCGAAAGGAATCCTATTTCCAAAGATGGTCAGCGTTCACGTAGTGGCTAGAGCCGAGTTTCTAGAGCAAGATTATCGTACCAAACGCCCTTGAGGTGCATGGGGCCAATCTTGACAACATGACGGATCTTTTCGCTTTTCAGAATCCCATCACGACGCCCGCGGGTCATTCCCGCCACATTCAGAAGCTTCGTGCCATTGATCATTGAGTTGTCTGTAGAGCAGGGTTAGCCAAATATGAGGTTCTCTGTATTCGCCAGACCGACTACGATGTGCTCCATCTCACCTTCACGTCGAGCAACACAGACTCCTTTGGCTTCAACCTGATAGCAGAGGCTTCCCTCATCCTCCCACAGTGTGGCGGTCACGCGTGGCTTCGATCCCGGCGGAGCGATCTGGCCGGTGAGATCGTACACGAAGCCCTGCGCAGGGGCGCCGGTTGAATTGCCATAGTTTTGAGTTGCCACCGCATGGCTTGTCACTGCTGGTTCGACGGGATCGGTTAGAGTCTCTGTATGTACGGTCAAAAGGAACCACGAGAATCACTTACCGGGTAGGGGCAGCAATTGAGCCGGGACCTGGCCACTCAGAGATGTCGTTGGGGGCTGGAGGCCAGGCTGGGATGAAGCTACGCCGCCTGGATAGGCATACGGGGCATAGGAGCCGGCCGGCCCATATGTCGTGGATGCTGGCTGCAGAACCGGCGGCTGCTGGTGGTATTGCGGGTAGTGAGCAATGCCCCCAGCGGTGGCAGCATGCGAGGCATAAGGCTGGCCAGATGACAAATGCGAAGAATGAACGTCCATGTATGGTTGCGTCTGGTTCATGCTGCTGATCGGTGCTGGATTCTGATAGTAACTATCGCTAACCTGATTCTGCGCGAGCGAGTACTCTTGGGGTGCAGAGCCGTCCAGCGAAACGCGACCCTGGTTTGCCGCCGTTGTGAGGTCGGTCGAGGATGTCGGCGGGCTTCGAGTATCACTACCCCCGGGCGCGGAACCCGATAGACTGGTACGCGCGCTGGTGTTATTGGACCCCAGGGCGGCGGCGGAGGCGTCGTCGTAGCTCGCCCGATAGGACTGGCCCGAGATGGCCTGCGAGGCCGTAGGGAGACTGAGAGCCGGAAGCTTGTCACCAGACAACAGAGGTCTCTCTGCGGCGTGGTGGTTATACCAAGGGATATCAACAGGACCTCTGGTGTGGACCTGCGAGATCGACGGTAGCTCCAGCTTTTCGGTTGACGGGGGTAACAGTTCTAATAATGGTAGTGAGGAGGTGCGGTGGAACGTCGGACTGTAAGATATGTCCGGCGTACCGAGAAAGTGGAAGAGAAAACGCTTGTCTGTGTTCTCGTTCTAAGCGTTCGTTTTTTTCTTCGATGAATTGATTTCTGAGATCAGTCGGCACTTCGGGCACTGAGCTCGTTCCTGCTTGAACGTGCAATGTATCCGGGGCGAGACTCTCAGGATAAACTTGTGCGGGATCTGCAGTAAATATACACACCGAGTCAAGTGTCAATGCAAGTGGGCAGATGGAATAGCTTTAGCAGGCAATGCAGGACATGCGATAATGTGCAATCGTGGCAGGCTCGTGGGCAGTCGTAACCATAAGACGCTAGAGACCACTGGCGGAGACCAAGGAAATCGCTATGCAGAGACTTTGCGGACAGAAATCTAGATCCGAAGACGTGGGAGGATTTTGATTCTCACAAGCAAGCCCAAGGAAAATAGATAGACAACAAGCGCTTGCGTATGGTTTAGAGGGGAAAACGCTCAGCCGATTCAGAAGGACACAATCATGGGTCTCGTTTCAAGTCGTGATAAGCAAAGCGGAGAGAGAAAACGACGTGACAGTCCAGCATCCAACGTCGAGTGTCTTCGGGGATGCTAGGCACAAAAGAGAAGTTGGTGTGCTGCGACAACGACACGAGGCGAGCAAAGTGGACTAAAATCGAGTCGTAACGGGTCGTAGAAAGTCGTTGCGTGCGGCGGGTGCAATGCTAATGTATGCTGTAGGCTCTAGGTAGAACACGGTCAACAACCGAGCCTGAAGACGCGGGAAAGATGATTGCAAGTTGAAGGTGCAAAAGAAGAAGGGCAAGTGGTAGCAGACAGTAAAGATAGCAAGAACAAGAACATTCAGGTCATCCACATAAGGTCATCAAAGGACAAGAGAGAAGGAGAGAGTTGTCAGATTGGAAGTAGGGGAGGAATTGTAGAAAGTAGCGGCAGAGAGATGGAGGTCCGATGTATGTATAAGAAGGCGCCAAACGGAAGGGATGGCACACTAACGAAGGCGGACAAGGGAGTGCCGAATTGGGTTTTGGGTTGGGGGGGGTGAGGGAGGAGGGTGGGGAGGGAAGAAAGTAGGGAAAAAATAGAAATTTGAACCAAGGAAGCAGATCCAGCAAAAGAAGGATCGGGGAGGAAGGAAGGTGACAGAAGAAGAGGTTAGTGTGAGAGAAGAGTGGTGAAGGGTGAGGATCAGGATAAGGTGAAAGTGCGTAGGTAAAAGGTCAAAGGAGCAAGTGACAATCCAGACAGGATGCGACTAATTCTCTTTTGGGAGAATTTTGGGGACAAAAAATATTATCGCATAAATTCCCAAAAAGGAAAATGAGATCAGAGCAGTCAGAAAAAGAAAATAGTATAGAAAAGGAAGAGGAAATTGAGCAAAGAGGACGAAAAAGGATGAAAAATAACCGCCCAAGTCTGAGACAACCCAGATGTGGGCGATCATGACCGACCCCGAAGGGAGCAGAGAGAGAAGGCGGTGGAGGGGAGATGAATGGAAAAGAAACGAGTAAAGATAAGTTAGGTAGGATGAATAGGTGACTGAACGAAATAAAACGGATGATTGAATGTGTGGATGAATGAATGAATGACTGACTGACTGATTGACTGACTGACTGACTGACTGCAGCGACTAGTGCCGCGGCAGATCATGGACGGAAAGGTGGAGGCTGGGACTCTGAGGTGGAGGAGGAGGGGAGGGGAAGAGGGAAGGAGAGGGAAGAGGGGGGGGGAGGCCGGCCAGCAAACGCAGGCTAAGCCTGATGTTCTCTGCAGCCGCCGGGGGAGGGTTTCTGGACCGCCTATGGACTTCTTCTTAAGTGAAGTGGCCCAAAATGGAAATAACGATGGTTGGGAATCCTATCATGAGGAAGTCGAAAAGAAATCAAGCAAAAAGCAAATTACCAAGGGAGAAGCCAAATAATAAAAGAAAAAATACACCGATCCAGCAAATTGAGTAAAGAAGGAAGATAAGAATAAGACAAGTGACCAGATACAATTCAATGAGTACTTGCAGAAGGAGAACAGAAGAAACTCACCTGACTTGAATTTTGGACTGTTTGAAGCTGATTATGATGGAGATGGTGATGATGCTAAAGTCGAACAGTCAAAGAATGGCGCTGGAAAGGGTGGGGAAAGTCAACCGGTGGTCACAGACGGCTCCCGCCCATCGAAGGCTCTACCATGGTCCAGAGAACAGCCAAATCGGGTCTGGGTGCGGGAAGGTGGGAGGGGGAGACAAAAGAAAAATAGGCGACAGGGAAAAAAAAAAAAAAAAAAAACGAAAAGAGAGAGAGAGAGAAAAGGAAAAAAAAGAAAAAGAACAAAAAAAAAAAAGGTTCAATAGGTAATTGATGAATGACGGTTGAGGATCTTCGGGGCTGACGGGTGCAACCGAAACACCTCGCCCCTACTCCCCCAAGGACAAAAATGATGACAAGATAGGAATGCAAATCAAAGGGATGGATGGATGGATGGTTCTGCCTGAAGCCACCCCCGACCTTCTTAGGTTCTAGAAAGAAGGATAGGGACCGCTAGCTTTCTCAGATCCTCTCCCAGAACTACTACATTCGATCTCTGAAGCTGTTTCGATGCAGGTGGAGCAAGACAGCCCAGTGTCTCTCTGCAGTAGTTCCAGTACCCTCATCGATGGCAGGACCATTCACAACCCCGAGGTGAGGCGGCTGGGCAGCAAGGAACAAGAAACCGCTGCAACAGCCAAAATCCTAACCCAAATCCAAAGACCAATTCAACAGGGCCAAAAAGCAATGAAAAGAAGGGGCGACCAAAAGCCCACCGAAAAGAAGATCAAGAAAAGTCGAGAAAACCAAAAGAGATACACCACATACCGGCACGTGTCTTTGACTCGGGCTCGAGATCGGTTTCTTTCTTGAGACCTGCTGCGCGGGAATGTAAGAGAAGCTGCAAGGCAAGCAGTCGGGTGCGAGATCGAGAAATGTCTCTGACGCGCTTCTGGTCCGGACGTGCTGAGCAACCTCGTTCTTCTTAGTCCGGTTTCTTATGATCCGTCGCAGGCGATCTACTCTCCGGGGGGATTCTCTGTCCCGGTATCGGCTTCTTGCGAGTCACAGGCCCGTTGAGGAAGAGGAGTGGTCGGGGCTGGTGAAAGAAGAGAAAGGAGAGAGGAGAAAGGGCGATTGAAGAGAAGCTGAGTGAGGGACTGGGTGGTGGATCGCTGGGCTGGCTGTCACTATAACTGTCGCCTTCTGATCGGGCAAGAAGAACAATAATAAATCAACATCCGAGGGAAAGGCTCGAAAAAGCGAGAAGCAAGAATTCAATCTAAGGGCAATTTAGGAAATCGGATAAGAGAAATCAGAAGGAACAAGATATTGAGAGGGGGAAAAGTCCTAAAATCAGAAGAGGAAAAAAAGAAGACAAAAAAAGAAAAGAATTCAAATTGAAATAATCAAACTGGAAAAGAGAAACATAACAAGATGAAAATAATATCAACTGAAATAAAAATTGAGTGGAAGAAAATAAAAACGACAGACAGCATTAAAAATAAAATGGAATGAATGCTAGCAGTCAGATGTGGATCCCGCAACTCAAAACGAGCAGCAGGAGAGAAGGAGTGGGATGGATTTTCTGGGACAAGAACCGTGCGTCGTGCGGAAGAGCGGAGAGATACACCGTGGGATCTGCTGCTGCTGCTGCTGCCGCCGCCGCCGCCGCCGGGTGGTGGTGGAAAGTGGTAGGTATAGTGAAGTGGTTAAGTGAGATTAGTGGTGGTAGTGGCGGTGGTGCTGCTGCTGGTGCTACTGCTGCTACTGCTCCTGCGGCGGCGGCGGCTGCTGCTGTTGCGGCTAGTACAGTACGTACTTACCCACTTAGTCTGACTCTCTCACTCACTCTTTTACCCTTTCAACTACCACAGGTACCTAGTATGAAGAGTACCGATCCCAATACCCTTCGTCTTTTTCGCAGGGTCCAGAAATTCCAGCGTCAAGCTCAGACAGCGCAAATGCCGCCAATCCGCCACGAAGCAAGGACCATTCGGCCGGATAAGCTAAACAAGACGCCGGGCAGGAACCACCGTTTGGGCTAGGAAGAGTATGCACCTCGGCTCCAGATTGGCTGCCGACCCAAGGGTGAAGAAAGGGGGAAGCGGCGCCAAATCTCGATGGCGAAAGAGCGGGCGGCAGAGCATGACAAGATCAAATGAAGAAACGTGATGCGCGATCCCAGTACCCATATCGTAGGGACCCAGGACCCTCAGCGGCAAATGGAGCAGAAGGATCAAGAAAAAAGAAAAACAAACCAAACCACAGCAAGCGTGAAGAAACAGAGAGAAGGTATGGAAAAAAGTTGACAGACACATCAGGGAGAGTTCACTTGCTACATACCTGTGATTGTAGCTGTATTGTTGGGATTGATGCTGATGCTTGATAATGGCAACGTCAGGTACCCGATTCGCAGGTGAATCTCAGAGGAGCAGTAGGCTAATAGAGAAATAGTCTACGGAGTAGATAGACAAGACCGCCCGAGCAAGTCTGCAGGGTTCAGCGAGCCACCATTAAGAAACAATTGATTGCGGGTGAAGCAGAAGCCGATCACTTTCATTCATCGATCGCGTTGGGAAAGCACAATGTGAACTCCTAATATTATCTACATCTGCTCCGTACATACATCTAATTACGATTGCAAATGGAAATCAGAATGATCCAGGTAGAGGTTCGAATCTCTCATGCCAATCTCACTCGGGAGACGATGGAGCAAGAGGGGATCACCACTAGATAGTAGACAATAATAAGAGAACAGGGGGTAATGAGGGAGAAAAACTTGATAAACCAAGTCGAATTTCGAGAACAATACTAAGCATAATACTATGACCATCTGTCAAGGAAAGGAAGAAACCCACTAGGAAAAATGGAAAAGGGAAGGGGAAAAAGAAAAAAGGAAAAAGGTGGTGAGACCATGAGAGTGACTTCTGGACTCCGGGCGGTGCGTGAGGGGCCACACGGTGAACTGTTGGGACGGATGGATCGCGCACTGCTGTAAGTCATTCGATCGTCCTGCGCTGCCGGGTTGATGCTTAGACTAGTAATCTAATTGGAGGAGGATACAGTACGGAGGACTGGTACCTACCTAGGTAGTACCTAGTAGCCACTGGGCACGGAGACGGCGAGGATACTTTAGCACGGAGTACTGTACCTAGGTAGTATCTTTAGTAGTTAGATAGTGCTTGTAGCTACAGAGCACAGGCTGGCACTCTTTGCTTCTGCCGGGGGCTTTTCCATGCTCGTTCGTGCCATATTCTTCGACTCGCTATCCTGAGTAGATAATCTCCGAAAGACATTCTACAACAGAGTGTTCTGTAGTTTGATAAGCACAGGACCCCGCATGTATCTCTGAACAACAAATTCAAGAACCTGCCGAGACTAGGCAGCCGAGACCGTTACCGATTGAAAGGCCCACGGAAGCAGGAAAAGAAGAAGCCGCGGCGAGGGCAGCATAGCAGCAGCAGCCGCCAAAAAGAAAATAGAAAAAAGAAATAAGAACCAAGAGAAAAAAACAAAAGAAAAGAAAAGCAAAGCATCGAGGGAAAGAAGGGGAAAAAACAAAAGAAAATGTATTAACAATAACAATATTAATAATGACAGGCGCGTGTTCCAGGTTCGAGCAGTTGTCTCCACGATGGCCGCGGGTCCCACTCAGCGTACCCAAAGTTCAAAGAAAGAATCGACCATGGGTAAGCTCGGCCACGAAGCGGCGAACCAATGGTCAAATCCATGGTCTGGAATGACTGGCAACCTAGGTACGCTGTGATTACTGTAAAAAAGGTACCGTGCTTGACTAGGTGGGTTAGATAGTAACACTACGTGGTGAAAGAGGCAGTAAGCAACTTAAATTCGAGGACGTTGAGAACTATGAGTATGAGCATGCAGTCAATGATAATCATGCTTTTTGTGCTTCGGGCATAGGATCGGTCAGTCGGTTGGCCGGCTGGCCTGCTAGCCTGCTTCACATCCTGCTGTAAGGTATTCTTAATCTCGTCAAGGTTGATCGTGAGAACGCACGAAGCAGTCTGTTGGGTGCATAGAGTGCTGACGGCGGTCGAGATCATCCATAACCAGATAAGTTCTACAACTTGAGAATGCATGTATGACAAAGCCAGAGATGGAGGGAATGAGTGTACCGGTATGGTACTCAGTTTGTACTGCGATCGTACCGGCTGGTAATCGATTGCTTCTTCTGGATACTGAGAACACACATCTGTAGCAAGCTAGCTCACTGCCTCTCATCCCATCATATAGTAAGTACCCTGCGCCAGTGGAGAAAATAGAGAGAGGGGGCGGTGGGCGGGTTTATTTGCGCAACTCAGCGCCTAGGGGTAAAGTCGCTTTCTCTCCAGTCTTTTTCCCCCTTCCCCCTTCCATTTTGCCCAAAAGACCATTTTCTTAATGTGAGTAATATAGAACTAGCAGGGATCCATCCGCTCTAGTGAGATGGTCTACAGGGAATGCCAGTCATTGCCAGTTATCGTCAGTCGAAAGAACAATAGAATGGGAGGGGGGGGGGTTTCCATTAGATGGATGCAAGATTTGCGCACTCTAAACGGTGCAGTGGATCGTCCCAGCATGTAAAGCAGCGGGAAGCGGTTCGACACAGACCACCCCCAAAACTATCGGAAGCGACAAAGCTTTGAAGATCTTACCCTACCCTAGAACCAAACCTATCTCTTAGCCATCATCCACGAACGACAACGGTCAGCGGGAGAATACAGAGTCACCCACCCGAAAGAAAGGAAGGGAGGAATGGCGGTGACTTGAGCAGCATGAGGAGAAAAAAAAGAAGAAGAAAAGGAAACAATAATCATATCGGTCGAAAATGGAAAGTCGTGGATAAGAAGCTTTTACAAGGGATGAGATACGACATATAACTAATGCCTGGAGCAGCTCAACCACAATTGCCTTACCCTGCACGGCTGCTCTAGTTCTTCTCAACTGATCGTTGACGCGGCGCATCCTAGATGGGTAATGGAAAATGTGCTTTCACTCTCCTCATTGTACTTTACGGCACAGGATCACATTGTTTTATTCCGAAGCATGCCGTGGGCGCTCATTTGCATTATTACACTAACTTAGCTACTAGTAGTATTGTACTTCTCCGACGCCGATGAGCCGAATGCTGGGATTCTTCTCGGTCGCAAATGGTCTACCAGCTGATGACATAACAGGAATAGTGAATATGACAATAGGTATTATGATTATGATGGGACCGATCACAAAGATGGTCCGGAGGACTCTTTAGTTTCTATTCAATCTCAATCAGAATGAATCATCAGACTCCAACTTCAGATCTTTTCATTTGCTTGGAATTCAGGAAGTCTTCCGCGACAAGGCTAGAGAGCGCCAGTCCAAGCAATAGCCTGACTAGCCAAGTGGAGCCAGCCTTCTTGGACTGGCACTGGGCTCTTTTCCCCCCCCCCCCCCCTCCTCTCTCTGTCTTCGCGTTCCTTACCTAGTTGTAATCCATCACCACCGTAAATTGCAATTACTCTTCCCTTCTCAACTCCTTCATCATCTGTCTTCCCCTTTCGTAAGATGTGAAGCGGATGGAGGATCCATTATTCAGGTCTGTGTGCACCCTACTATCATCAGCTAGCTAGACTTGGCTCATGATGATGTGGGGGGGGGTTGGATGCGATACTTAATGGTTTTATCAAAATTATGATTTTTATTATGGTTACCATTATGATTATTATCATAATTTCTACTCCGTATTATCACCATTATTACCGTCATCGTCATCGTTGTTAACAACTCCAAGCTGTTGGGGGCGATCTGGAGGTGGGCCCCGCCTGGAACACGGCCCCTTTCGCAGGTGGGGATGACAAGTCATCCAAATCAACCAGTCTTCTGTGACTGATCATGGCGGAAGATAGGAAATCGGAAACGAGGCAAGTCGGTGGAGGACGATGACGAGAGTCAAATTAAATAGATCCGACGTATTTTGAGGTAGGGACGCGGACGAGCAAGAGAGCGACAACGAGGGGGTGAGAGGCGATCACGAGTCAAGGGATTATTGGATTTGGAAAAAAGGTGAGCTTGATGGGCCAAGAGAGAGGGGCTAAAGGAATGATAATTTGTTCAATTAATTGATTTCACCCCGGTGCTACTCTGACCGAAGAAGTATACAGGGCTATCTATTCGAGGTACTCCAGACTCTAAGGTACCTAGTAGATAGTTAACTCATACCGTACCTAGTACCAGTTACTACCCTACCCAGTGGTTCGTTCCTATCAGTAGTCCCTATCTAGGTTAGTAGTCAACTAGACAGACACACGGTAGGTAGCTACGGACACTGTTCCCAGCCAGATAAACTCATTTTTCCAACGCAGTCCAGAGTAGAATATACTGCAAGCAAGCGAGGCGATCCCTGGGTTACACAGCGCAACAGAAGAAATCGACCAGGATAGGGCCGGATTGGCAGGGATACATGCAGATGGCAGACCAAACCACTGGACCAGAGTGCACCACGCAGGCAGAAGTGGCGTGCAAGCAACAGTCGATCAGGTCTGTGTTCTTCGATTTTTCCCTCCCACCCCATCATCCTTCAAGAGCACTATCCATATTCTGAATTGGTCGGTCGGGGATGAGCCCTGTCAGTTTGTCAGTCTGTCAGTCTGTCATCCAGTCCATTAACTACTAACAACCTTACTGTTTTAGGTTAATCAACAGCGGAGTAAACACCAGTTGTTGATTCTCACCTCGTTGCGGATTCTTAGTCACCTTTTTCCCGGCCGACTGTGAATATGCAGTGTTATTTACCTGGGGGAGGGGGAGAGGAGTGAGTCTTGGTCTGTCTCATTTTAATTCGGTTCATCAAGCTAAATTTCTGGATTAGGGGAATTTGGCCAAGGAAAGAGTGATGCTATACAAAAGCCGTTCGGTCATTCGTGTCTCTTTCTCCGCCACACACACACACATTCATACTATTCAAATGACACTATTTCGAACAGCAATGCAATGATCAAAGATAGGTTGCCGTAAGACTTTCCAACAACTCAAGATTCACAGAATTTCGCCTGTTTCATCAATAGCTTAGTTGAATAAGGAATCTTCACGCAGAAGCAAAGAATGAAAAGATGTTCATTTCACCTGGCGAGGCGGCTCCTTGGATACATCAGAAGGAGAGCTCAAGCTCGCGAGTCGGTCAAGAAAGCCCAATCCCGGGTAGTTAGGGATCATGACCCTGGCCACCATAGCAATAATTCTCCGCTTGAGAGATCAACTGGCGTTTACCATTGGCTCCACACGACCGGGGGGTGAGGTCAGAGATCGCTGGGTCTTGGTTGGTGTTTCACAAAACGAAGCTGAGAGATCTGGAGTTAATTTCCATCTTAGGTAGGTCAGCTTAAATCTTGCGGGCTCGGGCGGCTTTCCAGCCTGATTGATCTACGTCAGAATCAACGATGAATACCTGGAAGGCGGCCTCCTCGTACAAAACGAGTACCTCAATACCGTCATCTGTCTTGGATCTTCACCAGGAAGGTCGTACAGAGAGGCGACGGAAATTCTGGTGATCCTCCTTTCTAGATTGAGTACAGTACAAGATGGAACGCTAGTTCTCGTGGAATGATGGCTTTTTTGCCCCTCCGATACCGAAGTAGTAATTTCGTGCTCACGAACGACCTTTTAGCTATATTCTCCGCCGTATAGCATCGCTCGTCAACCATTAGAGCACCAACTAGTTAACTGCTCCGCACGATCCGGATGGGGGATCCATGCCCACTACGGAGTGTTGCGAACTATGAACGGAGGCGCGCGTACCATCATCAATATAGTGATCTTAATGGATCGATGGAGACGGTGAGAGGCATGAGCCGCCACCTTCTGGACTGCCAGGCCTTCATCTGAGTTGTTCTTTTGGCCATGTCTTTCCACGTTTCCCGCTCTTCATCGCATTTTTCTGAAAAGAATTGCCTCAGAAATTGAATCCGGGGTCCAGACGAATCGGTGTAAGTCACAACCCGGATTTCAGGCGTGTTCAGGCGCAAGGGCAATGAACAACGGTGACCAACAAGAGCGAGAAGCTGGAGAGAAGGACAAAAAAGTGACTCCAGGCCTCACCGCTGGTTTCATCGCGATGAGAATGACATCGAAAGTCTGATTTGGGCAAGAAGGGGGGGATCAAAGGGAGGGGGGAGGAAGACTGTCATTTGACTGACAAGCCCTATCATTCCAGCTGTCCATGCTCGGCTGATGGCGCCAGGGCTGGTGATAGGCCCGGGAAGCTTCTTCCTGCACTTGCTGCAGCACCTCCTCGCAACCCCTTGCGTGTAGATAGTGGAGAAGAGGTGCAGCGACGATGTCCCACTTGGGCGGCCCAACCCCACCTTTCTTTTGTTGTTGCTGCTTGCTGTTCGGTCACTGGCCTATGAATTATTCTCGACGGACTCAGAGGTACTGTACGGATAGCGCGCCTCCATTGTTCGAACAAGGTCTTGTCTTTCTTTTGCTTCCTTTCTCCCCTCTTTCTTTCTTTCTTTCTTTCTTCTTTTCCACCCTCCATGACTCGTGGTGGTGGGAGCAATGAAGAATGAAGCTGACAGGTCAGGGACAAATGTCGTACAGGAAGTGGATGAGAAGACGTGGTCCTCAGTAGGAGTGGTGGTGGCGGAGGTGGAGGTGTAGAGTAGAGATGACGGAAGGGGGGAGGGGGGAGTGTGCCCTTCCCACTGAAAGCTCTCACGTTCTTTCTTCTTGATCTGCCTTCTCTACCTCGAGAATCAAACGAATCTTTGTTGCTGCTCTTCTTGTACTGTTCAGCGCGTCTACCAAATTAGCTTTGCACTTCCTTCTCGAACGTTCCAGATTACTGTAACATTCCACCGTTTCTCTCTTCTGTCAAGTCTGTTGCTGCCTCGTGTTCATGTGCTCTGATCTCGATTGCTGATTACCGGAATAGAGAAAACATCATCCAGCATACCACATGCTTCAGCTTACATCCAAGTCAAAACATGGCCTTCCTGCCGGCAATTATGCAGGTATAGGGCGGAGGGGAGCTTCACTGTATGCACATCGAAAAAGCACAATGCGCTGCGCGGTCCGTGTTGAGTCTGACACGAACTATGGACGATGTGTGGGATGAAGAGGATGATCCTGTGGAGATAAGTCCAGGGCTAAAATTATGATCAACCTGTTGATGCGAACTGCAGTCTGTATTGTACCTACTTACACAGTAGGTACTACCCTACCAAAGCTCTGACAACTTGACTACAACCCTGTCAAGTTTTCCTAGAGACTAGGTTCGAGAGACAGCTGAGAATTAAGATGTCAGTGAAATACCATCAGACCCCGGTTATTATCCCGTGTCAGGTATCATTATAAGTACTCCGTACGGAGTTAAACCTCAAATGATGGGACAATCAAAGGCCGAGAGGGAACCAAGAGGGAAGGGAAGGGGAGTCTGCTACGGACGGGCCGACTCCCGCAGCCGTCGTACATACATACTTACATACAAGGTTACATACCAACTTACCTACCTGCGGGGTCCAGCCCGGTTAATACCTATGTACATACTCATTCGTAGGTATAGTCACCTTTATACTCTCCCGATTCGGAGAATTGGCCTGCGTAGGACAAGATATAGATAGGAGATAGTAATATAGTCCCAACTGGGAATCAATCTTCCCCAACAATATAGCAAAAGAGCGGAATAAGACAAATTGAGAGAGAGAAAGAGAGGGAAACAAATGAGAAATGAATAGGGGGATGCAGAACAACACTCATTCCCAGTTCAAGGGATCCGTTCGGAGTTACAGGGAGGATTTAACCATAGGCACTAAGAGGCAGGCATACAATAGTGCCGTTACGTAAGTAAGTGTCAAAGCAAATCAGTTTGACCTCAAGTATTCTCCCAGTTGGCAGGCATCCTAGCCGCCTGTCATTAGCAGGCAGAGGTAGTTAGCATCAGCAGCATCAATCAGCATCATTCATTCTCACTACTACAGACTATTATTGTATCTTCCCACCGTCAGCGGTCCAGCCCAGGGATCATTGATGGCTCTGCGCTAAGTCTGCGCCTGATCAAGCTTGGAGGCTTTTTTAGTTCATTTAGTTCGGTCCATTTAGCTTGATGGGCTAAAGATTTCCATCCAGTGCACACACCAATGATCTCTTCCGATCCCCACCATTAATTCATCTCGGCCTACTCCCTCTCTTTCAGTAGTTTCCCCTCCCCCCTCTCCCCGCCCCCCCCACTTCATTGGAAATTCCAATCAGCCAGATGGTTGGCAATTGACATTTCACCATTGACACTCACTGACTGTGACACACTGACAGAAAAGAAAGACTAACATACTAGCGGCTCACTAAAAAGTGAACGGGCTCAACGGAGTCAACCGCCGGCCCCTTCAGCATCCGGGCCTATCCCTGCCACGCTAGGACGAACTGCGTAAATGCACGGGGATCAAATCAGATCAATCACGGCCGGGGATCGCGCGCCGTCTTGCTCATTCGATGCACCATTCAGGACGAAAAGGCTTGGGGCTGATTCGTGATGACCGGTCCGGCTGTGTCTCGCTTTCCTCGAAGGTGAGGAATTATTCCGGGTGCAGATGTGGGGAACGAATTCGACTCATTCGCTGCTGTCCTCCTATGAGTGCGTAAGTTACACTCTAGTACGATAGCCCAAGGATTCTTCTACTTTCAAGATTAATCTCCTTCCTAGGATGTAGCTTTGGGTCGATTCAGTCGGACTGGTCACTGGCGTAAGTAAGGACTATACTGACCAGACTCAGTACTAATTAACTTTTAGGAAGGTTGCGTTGGGCTAGCCATGATTTTACCTGTCAAATCCTCGGCTGTACCTGCAGCTGCCATGCAAGCGCAAGCAACGAACCACCCTTCCAGGTTGCCTCGCGCCTAGTCTAAGAATTCTTCAGCTGTCTGACAATTCTTCTCCGTACCCTACAGACTTCCAGCCGGATGCACAACAGTGCAGCTCCGACGATGACTAGCACGGGTGGGGGAACTGACCGGGAGCTCCGACTTTCTCCTTCCTCCCTCCCTCATTTTCCATCCGCCCATCCGGGGCTGAGAGGGTTCGAGCCGAGGCCATCGATAACGAACTAGCAAGTAATAACCCCCTTCACTGTCTGAAGACCCCTTCGGGGGGGGGAAGGGCAAAGACAAATCTCCGCCTGCAGTGCGACCTATGCATTAACTTACTGATAGGCGATGCGGGAATAACCGATCAAGAGAACGGATTCCATCTGAATTCTTTGTTCCGACCGGACAATTTGCACCACCACCACATCATTCTCGTATCATCAATCTCATAATCAACTTCAAGTACTACCGTACTCTCCGGCCTCAGAAGACACGAATACCGTGCGGATCATCGAGTCGAGAAGGGTTAGGGAATGGCCCCCAAGGACGTCAGCTCCGAGCAGGGACTAATTTTACTCCATTCGTCCACCGGCCGGCGCTTACAATACCTGATTTCGCGCAGGGATTCAATGACCGGAATGTTAGTCGATTTTTGCAATGATACTGCGGCCTATCTTTGCGATTGGCTCTACTTACTGAGTATTCCTCCTGCCCTTTCCGTATTTGTTCGGCACTTGTCGAAAGCGCCCAGAAGTCCTCGATCCCATCGACCGACCATAACAACCCAGCTCAGACCGAGTCGCCTTTCTTCGTCCATCCGTGTCCGACTACGAGGGCCGCCATGGCTATAACCAATGAGCCAATCAAAGGCCGTCTACGGCCTTAAGATATGTTTCTACTGTTCTTTGGGGCGAGACGGGTAAATCCTTCATCATCTGATGATCCGAAGTCGCTTTTCGGTGGTGGAGGGCGGGCTGCACGCAGTAATTAACCTTACATTGCATGTTCCGGCGAGTTACCCGTGCACGATCGACTGCGCAGGTGGTCTGCCTTGCGTTAGATTAGTGGAGGACCAGGGAATTGCGGATGTGGGATCCTGCTCGCCATCTTCTTGCTCACTGGCTTTCTTTCTTCCCTTCTTTCTTTCTTACTGTGGTCTTTTTCCCAGATCCCAAGAATAATTCTACAGAGCAAGATATGCTTACTTTCCACTCTGGTAATCCTGAGCGATCTGGATTCGATACACAGGGGGCCTTGCCTGGGCCAATTGCGACCTTTCGATCCAGAATATTATACGGCATGTCACGATGGCATCATCCCATACCCCAAGAAGAGGGTGTCACAGACACACTGAGAGGTGCAACACATACATGGTGGCGATGGTCGGCCACCGGGCTGAGGATCCATGTCCCCGCGACACGGACCCCTTCTCCTCTTTTCCCCCCCCCCGTTGTTCATCCAAGAACAGCATCTGAGCTACCTATATTAGGGGACAATTAAGACTCTTCGGATTGGCCAAGTTTGATCATGCATTGATTGGCAGCAGAGGCAACCACGTATGTGCTGGCAAGGACATCTACTAAATCTTTCTCTCTCTCCCCCTCCATCTGATATTTTTCCCTCTTATTCTTGATTTTCTTTCTTTTTGTCTTTTGCCCCTTTTTTTTTCTTTTTTTTTTTTCTCTCTTTCTTCTCCCTTCCGTCTTTCATTTCTTGCCTTGCACCCGTCTACCGTTGATACCGGCAGCCGGAGAACATGGCTGGCTGTTGCAGTGCCTTCAATTGAATGACTGGCTGACTGACCGCTTTTCTTCTATGCCATCCTTGCCGCTCCTCGCGCGTCTGTGCCAGGGTCGGTTTCAGCTGCAACGACCCGTGATGCATATGCGGACGCAGGGTTGGGTTGGCCGGTTTGCGAGGACAAGTCGCTAGCATACCCGGAGGTGGTGTTGGGGATGTCGTTTCTGTACTCCCCCGCTAGGATTCTTTTGATCTCTTCAGTTTGTGACCCTTTGCACAACTGTCGAGGATTGAGCTACAGCACGTAGTGGAGTAGTGTGTGCACATTCCAAGGTGACATACATATGTATGTCACTTCCATAGCGGCCGATCCACGGCCCCTCTCTGAAGGGGACGATCTGCCCCTAATTATAGCTTGTCCAGCTGATCAATGGTGATTGAAGTCGACCATCCATCAGCCATTCATCCTTCCATCCCTTGATTACACCACTGGCCGCCCACCCAGCCACGCATTCGCCTCGCTTCACCGTCTTTCTGCTGCTGCTGCTGCCGCCGCCGCCGCTCTGGAATGCGTGCGTTGTGCGCCGTGAAGCAGGATTGATTGGAGTATTAAGATAATGGCGAAGAGGAAGTCCCTCTTTGTCAATTGCCATCTTAGCACGCATTCTGATTGGAGGTAGACTCAGGCAGTGAGGTAGTGTCGCGCTGCGATGCGATGTACTGTAACTTTATTGCTATCTGGAAAATGATTGCATCAGTGCTGCCCACGGTCAGTGATATATAGATCACAACTGTGTTAGTACATCTGAGTAGAAAGGTTGTATTTTTTTTGTTTTGTTTTGTTTTTTTTTTTTTTTGCCCACCTTGAATCATGTTGAGCATGTGCATACTATGAAGGGAAGAATGACCCATTTCGTACTCATTCTCCTCATCTCAGTACCAGTAGGCAAAAAGTTGATTCCCATCATTCCCATTGTACAGTAAGTCAACGATAACGACCTAGCCAGCTTATCGATAAGCCCCGACCCGCCCCCAATCATCACATGACTACATCCCTCCCTCTCCGCCTACGCAACCAACTGCATCCATGGATCGTAAACAAAAACATTCTTTTTCATTTTGAAACCTTCGACACCTAATCGACAAACCACCAAAGTCTGAACGACAAAAGCTTCCAGCCCCCCTCAACTTACAGCCGACAGAATATACCCCACGCGTACTTGATTCTGCAGAGAAGGAAACCCCCAAATCTAGCCAATCTGCGCCTTCTCTCGGGAAGTAGCAGAAATCAAAAAGCGCAACTTGCAAGGGAGGGGAGGGGTTCCGGCCTTCAAAAAAAAAGATAAGAGACAATGCCACCACCACCACTCTCCAAGGGATCCACATACAATCCGAACCCACAACCTCGAGCCCGCTTTTTCGACGTCTTCAACTCCGCCTCGACGGGTCATCAGGTTGCCGATGGCGGCGGCGCCCGCGGGCGCGAATGGCGGATCACCCGGCAGGAGAAACTGGCGCGGCAGTTTGGGTCCATGGATGGGGATTGCACTTCTTCGCCTGTCTTGACACCTGTTGCTGCTGCTGCGGAGGGAATAGGGGATGAGGGTGGGGAGGAGGAGGAGGCGGGGAGGGGAGAGTGGGTGTTTGCTGCTGCTGCTCATTCGGATTCTGTTTGCTCTGGGAACAACAACAACAGCAGCAGCAACATCAACAGCAACTACTCCAACAACGTCGGTGCGGGGTCGCACTTTGCTGCTCAGAAGCACTCGCAATTGCGCTCGGCGCATAATGGGCCGAGACATGTCCAATTGGGGGTTCGGGCTTCCTCCTCATCGACATCAACGGGCCAGATGGATATACGAAATATGCTTGGTGGGCAGGTTCGCAAACGAGGATACCCTGAGGCTGTGAGTGATGGCTGTGGTGGTGGTCAATCCAGAGCAATTGGGATGAAGAAAGCGAAGGTGCAGACGCAGTATAGCCTTGACTGGGCTACAGAGATAGCATCGGCAGCAGCAGCAGTAACGACGACAACAGCAACAAAAGGAGATGTATCTGCGCTACCCCTCATACCCACTTCCTTCAAGCCTCATCCCACACCTACACCTTCCATCACCTCGACGACCACGACCACGACCACGATCAAGAAATCAACAACACCAACACTTCCCTCAAAGACATCTGCAACGACCCCATCTACCTCATGCGAAACTATACCGCCATCCCTGCATATCGAACCCATGAACAACAAAAAGATCTTCAGCTCCCTCACCATCCACATCAACGGCCAAACAACCCCTCTCATCTCCGACCACGCTCTCAAGCGCCTCCTAGTCTCTCAAGGAGCTACCCTTAGCCTCTCCCTCTCTCGGAAGATCACGCATGTCATCATTGGAGTCCCCAATGCGGGACCGGGCAACGGCGGCGCGGGAGGTGGACTCGCCGCTAGCAAGATCCAGAACGAGCTCCAGCGCGGAGGATGGAAGGGGGTGAAGATTGTAGGGGTCCAGTGGTAAGTTTGCCTGCCCCCCTTTACGCCCCTCGCATATGCCACCCTGTCTTTCAACAGGACAGGGGAATCCGAGTTAGGAAAGGTGTAAGCAGTAAGTTAGGTAAGTAGGAAATACCCGTGCTGATTGAGACAAAAAATAGGGCTTTGGATAGTATCAAGGCTGGGAAGCGGCTCGTAGAAGGTAGGTATGCGGTTCAGTTAGGAGGGAGGCAGAAGAGTGTGCTTGGGTTCTGCTCCTCGTCATCTGCGGCAGTGACACCGACACCTGCAGAGGGCGTATGATGCATACATACACAATTGCTCCTGCAAGACATTTCCAACATTGACATTGACATCGACTACGACTCCATTCACCACTTGACTTTGAAAGATACCCACCCCATGCTGCAATTTGCGCGCCATCCTCACCAGGCCATCATACATTTGCACAAGCTTATCACGATAATGCGTTAATCTCAACAAGGATCAAACACGTACACACATACATACATTAATATATCCAAATCCTCATATATACATTATCGAGTTCATCAGTCATCATTTATATCATATATCATACCATTTGGCTCAGTTCTTAGATAAATGCCCCCTTCTTCCCTGGAAGACCTCCACTCCCTCCGCCACTGCTCCGTCCTGATTGATGTCTCCGCCAGCCCTCGCTGCTACCTCCTATCCCGCTCCCGCGGGTCGGCGGGGACGAGACGAATGTTCCCGCGCTACTGTCGGACTCGCGTCGTAACCCCGCCATTCCGATTGGCGCGTATGGATCAGCCAGCGGTTCTTCATCGGGCAGAGGGGGCAGCGGGTTCACGCGCAGTCGTGCCGGATACAGTGATTCGCTGGAGAATATGCGATGCGATTCAAGAGAGTCGGCTCGGTGGGATTGACCCGATGGCAACGGGTCCAGTCCGTCGTTCCAGATATCGTCGTCATCATAAGCACTGCCCAGGGCCTTCTCGTCCAGGTCATCCGATCTCGAATCCCCTCGCACCAGGCCAAGTCGTTCTTCCTCAGTTGCGCCCGACGAGCGGTGATAGTGGTGATGGAGGCCGCTCTGCCGTGAAACAGGACGAGCCGCAACAGGTTCGGGGCTACCGGCTTTCATTCGTCCGAGGACACTGGTGAACGAAAATTGCCGTTCAGCGCCTCCGTGCGGAGGGGGACTCGGAGGAGGAAGAGGGCGATTGTGATTCTCAGTATCGACCGATGACTTGATGGAACGGCCGTCTCGGCCGGCATAGTGAGTATCGGGGTATTTGCGGATTGATTCCATGGCCTTTAGCGACACGGGATTAGCCTCCGAGAGATGCAACGGCTCTTTGTGTAGCGGTTGCCACGTCGGGTGGAAAATACTGTTCGCGCGTGAGCGGAGGTCATCTAGGAATGAATTGTTGCTCTGTGTCGTAGTCGGTCGGGGCGGTTCATCGTCCTCCTCATCCTCGCATTTCGACTCCTCTGGCACGCGGGCCATACCCAGCGGTGGAAGTGGATGGTGACGGACGGACGGGGTGCGTGTGCGAGCTGCCATGGTGGGACCCTCGCCGAGAACAGTCTTGCGCCGGCGTAGTCCATCCCATTCAACGATCTCATTCTCGGCCAGCGGAGTGCGTAGGTCCTCCTGGCGGTCGTGATAATAGCGGCGGGCTTCTTCGGCCTCCATGGTCCGGCGTGGGGTAGAAATGCGGCGGATGATGGCAGCGGCGCCGCGGATGGAGTCGGCCTTGGGCTCGAATTCGTGTTCTTCCTGCGTCGCAACCTCGCGGACCTGGTCCAAATCGCCCTTGAAAACGGCAGCATCGGGGACATCTTTGGCAGATTTGGATAGCTGCAGCAAGACCACGCCTGCGCAGATCTGTAGGAACCCGAGGACGACGGTGACGATTTCTTTGACAGAGCCGTGGAAGCCCTGGAACAAAACGGCGGAGGTGACGATGGTTGCGCTGGTGAAGAAGACGTAGTAGGTCGGAGTAACGAGGGCAGCATTGAAGATATTCAGTGCTTTCTGTATTCGGTCAGCAGACATTCACCTTGGGCAGGTGGGCGAGAGGAAGAGCACACACATTTAGATAAATGATTTCTGTCAAAAGCGTTGCTATCACAAACACCAACAGAACATACAAGAACCATTCCTTGAACTGCGACTCCCCATTGATCTGCGCCAGAATGGCCGAGCCCAGCCCCTGTGTCGCAACAACGCTCAGCCCCCCAATCAGCGAGCAGATACTGAGATACACGAACATGGACTTTTTCCCGTATCGCGGCCCCAGGTATAGTGCGACGAAGGTACACCCGACGATGATCACCCCGGCATAGGACAGAAACCCGGGGGTGATCACATAGTGTTTCATCTCCTGTATATCGCTGACGGACGACTGCTCGGGCGCATTGAGCGGGATCACCACGGAGCCAATAATGCAGCAGAAACAGCCGACCTTGCCGACGAAGCTGAGGCGTTCCTTGAGGAAGATGGCGGAGAGGATGGTACACACGACGACGGTGAGCGCGCCCAGCGGGGTTACCAGGATCGCATCAACGAACGCATAGGCTACGAAATTGCAGATCTCGCCGACGATCATGAGGGTCATCCCCCCCCACCAGTAGAGGTTCTTGAGGTAGCCGTACCCCTCGCCGGCCTCTTCGTTGTATTTGACATTGGCGCGGAGGAGGCCGATCTTCTTGAGGACGAAAGAGGTGCCGATGAAGAAGCCGGAAGCGACGGCGAGGCAGATACCGACGACTTTGTAGGAGGCGGGTCGCGAGGAAGAGGAGGAAGAGGCGGCGGAAGTAGTTGTTTCTCGTGCGGCCAAGAGGGCGGCTGTTGTGGTGTAGTTGTAGAGCGCTGTCATCGCTGCGGCGGTTGTCGTGGCAGCCATGATGATCGAGAAGAGGGCGGGAGAAAGATAAGGGAATGGGAAAGAAAGCGGTTCAGAGCGGAGAGAACCACATAGAGATGGGAGATGGGAGATGGGAGATGGAGAGAGAGAGAGAGAGAGAGAGAGAGAGAGAGAGGTGAATTGATGAAGACACACTGCCAGCAGTGAATGACTGAAATGGTGGTACCTAGTCAGCAGACAACCCCTTTTTCTTTCTTTTCCAATTGACCCTGCGCCTTTCCTGTGTATGGTCTCAGGCTGAGGTTGGGAGCAGGAAGGAAGTCGGGGCGAAAAAGAAAGATCGAATATAATTAGACGGCGCTAAAGAGCGTGGGAAAAGAGCGTGGGAAAAGAGCGTGGGAAAGACGGTGGCTGAGTTGCGACAACACCGGAATGTGGAGTGAGCCGGTGGGTGGGAATGTGTCAGGTTGATCACATAAACATTCTAATCTACTTGTCAAAAACTGGGGCTGTCTGGACTCTGGATACAAAAGAGCAGGAGCGATGTAGTAAGTAAATAAGTAAAGTTGCAGTGATGTTGATAGATATCCGTGAGTCAAATTTGTGGTCGTTGTAAGATAGACCGTCAGAAAATAATAAAAACAAAGAGAGAGAGGCTGGGGAAGCACAAGGAAAGGTTGAGCTGCACGTGCAGCGGGTCTGTCTGTCTGTCATTTACGTACAGTACAGTACATACTTCACTTACTCGATACCTTAATTACAAGTACAACATGACCTCTCAACAGATCTGGACAGATCTGGACAGATGTGGAAATATAATAGGAAATTCATTCACTCATTAGGGTATCCTTCGATTCAATATCATCAAGTCAAGTCCTCAGTCAAACTCCTCTCTCTGGCCTCCTTTTCCTCCAATATGCTTTCGACGGGACTTCTTCGGGTATCCTGACACCATAACGTCAGCAGCCCCCCCTCTTTCTCCATTCCACAGAGTATTAGGCAGGTCATGTCATAGAATCATCTCCCTCATCGAACATGATAACTCGGTTTCCGCTGCTTGTTCACCACGGGGGGTTCATCCATAGGATATGGCGGTCGGGTCTTCCCGCCCGCCCCGGAATATCCGTGGCCACTATTTGTCATCATCGGAGGCATCACTGTCGGCATCGGCATGGGAATTCCCCCAAGTTCACTGGGATGGTCAGGATAAGGAATGGGAGTTTTCGGGGGCACGGGTGGAGGCATTTCTTCCCCGTTATGATGCGACGGCAGCTCGAAACTAGGCCGCGAAGATTCATGGGGACTTGGACTGGCCAGATCACTGCCTGAGCCACGCGCTGGGGACCCTAGAACTGCATCGTGCGGCGTCGGATGCGCAGGGAGTGTATCATCGGTCGCCGTCATCGGTCGTAAAACAAAATCGCCAGGCAATTCGGCGGGCAATTCCACCGCCATCGGATGGGGCAACGGAGGCTGCACCGACAGGACGGGACTGCCCAGGATGGAACTGGTCTCCTCGACTGCCTCATTCCCTCCAGTCGCCGCTGCATGGTCGGCCAGTCGTCGATGCTGTCGGTTGATTTTGGCAAACTTGACCCCTGCATCGAGGATCTGTCGCTTTACTTCTGGTCGAGTCAGATAGCGCCTTGTATTAGTGCTGATGTCCGCCAGGCGATTCCACTCGTTCATGCCGAACTCGCCTACCCCGACCTCAACATTCAATCGGTAATAGTTGTCCTGGCTCACGTTGCGCTTCGAAAGATGGTCGCGCAGCATGGCCACATGAATGTCTTCACAGCCCTCGATTTTGGCGATCAGTCGCCGACGTGCCTCCGCGAACGAGCCCAGCGCATCCCCGAAGAAATCCTCCCACCACTCGTGTTGGCGGTTGTTCGTGCCGGGCGGTCGCTTGCCGGTGCCGACGCTGACGAACACACCTACTTCACGGCCCGGCCACTCGTTCACCGTCGCTTCGTCCAATACCTGTGGCGCCGGATTATAGGTGCCGGCCCCTTCATCAATGAACACGTGTTGGCCGATCTGGATCGGCTTGAAAGCCATTCCGGTGGCCGAGGTGGCCCGACCAGCCTGCCAGATTGTACAATTGAACTCGGGCGGGGGCTCTTTGCGGGAATCGTATGAACGGAGCATGACAGACGACCCATTTCGGGTAGTACCTTTGTAGAGAGCGGTGACCGCGCTAAAGAAGTCAGTAGAGTCCATATGATAGTGGGAGCGCAAGAGGCCATACGTTTTGGTTCGATATTCCCGACTGTCATACAATAACGCATCCGGGTTTCCCCACCGCAAGCCGTTCACAAATGTAGAATTGCGATGACTGTTGTGACCGGACGAATGTGCCGTACTGGTGGTGCTGAAACTAGCGCGACTACCCGAGCGCTGCGGAATGGTGATCGCATTGGGGCTATAAGGGGCACCGGCGAGTGAATTTCGCGCGCTGCCGGGGGTCATGTCGTTCCCCTCGGCCTCGAAAACGGTATGTTCACGGACGCATTCGCGAATGGCCTCTTCGAGTCTGGAGGCCTTGAACAAGGTGGAGCGAAATGGGATGCCGGCAATGGTTTTGTCGGTTTCGAAGACCCGGCGGGTCATGCGCACATAGACTTCCTTGCAGGTTTCGAGGTCAAGGCGGAGACGGCCCAACATGAGGGCAATGAGACCGCCGGTTCCGGTACCAACGATCAGATCAAAATGGTCGCATGGTTTGGGAATCTCCTCACGACGAGGTGCCTTTCCTTCGCATTCAACGTAGACACGGTACATGAGTTCTTGGAGGATAATGAGCATGGAATAGCCCCGGACGCCGCCACCATCTGAGTGTTGAGAGCATAAGAGTTAGTATGGAAAGTAAGAGCCGGAGATAAATGCCCTACCTAGCGAGAGGATCCTCAAGGGAGGACCCTTGGTGGTATCCTTGCGGCGGAGATTGACGGAGTAATCCATGACCCCGCGGGGTTGAGACACGCACGATCAGGCGGAAATGGTTGTGGTTGTAGGCAGTAGAGGAGAAAAGTAGTGCTCCGGAGGATCCTGGTGAGATGGCACAGAAATGAAAGTAGACAAGTGCTGACCGAAGATTGGATGAAAGATCCTGGTGGGAGAGTGACAGATAGTGTTTTTTTTCTTCTCTGTCTCAGCCTCTGGCGGCAAGAAGCGAGGAATGGAGTGAAGAATGGAGAATGACTACAAAATGATTACTCCGGAACGAACGGTGATGGCATGAACGGCTGATGCCGGCTGCTGCGCCACGCCCCGCTGAGATAATCAGTTGGGAATCAGAGAAGACACGAGCGGGTCTTGTAGGGCAGATAAACCGTCATCTGATTGGTCTCATGCAGGGTGCCGTGCAGGTGGCGGTGCAAAAGAGAAAAAGTGGAACCGTGCGTATTTCAAGGTTGCCATACGGACTGCCTTCACTGGGCTGCCTACCTAAAGGTACCTGACGTAATGAGCCCAATTGGGCAAACACTACGGCGGGGAGTACCTTACCTTGCCTGTTAAAGTACTACTACGTACTAGCCTGGCACAGTACTACCTAGTACTCGCGAAGTTATAAGTGGTACGAGTAGTTTGTCAGGTTTGCGTTCCGAACTTCGGATGGGCTGTACATCTTTGTAATAAACAATGTCATTGATGAGGGAACCTACCAGTACCAGCAGTATCCAAGCTTAGCTCTATAGCCAGTTGGCCGCTTCAACCATGGGACTGCCCATCCCAGGAACCGGAACAAGATCTTCCGCGGTGCATTGTTGTTGACTTGTTGACTAGGGTCTATGTCCCAGATCTTCCTCCCTTACAGTATACTCCATCTCGTATCTCGTGCCCAACCCCCTAGATCTCAATTGGTCAACCCGGGCCAATCTATGCAAGTCATTCAGTCAGTCATGCCAATCACCGTCGAGTTCGTATCACAAGTCATTGTACTCTGCGGTCAGTACTCACCGTACACCATTCGTTCATCCATGCGTCGAGTGACAACCACCTCATCACCCACCTGCACTGTCTGACCCTCCGACTCACCGTCGAGAAAGACATATCGACCGAAGACTGGGCTAAATTTCGCCCCTTTGTCGACCCTACGGTCTTTCATCAATTTCTTCAACACATTGCCCATCTCCCCCTGTGCCATCGCGCCCGTCGCATAGTCGACATTCAGACTCTGACACCGAATGCAGTTGGCTGTCAGCAGCAGCCGCGCTTTTCCTTCTTTGCCAGACCCAATAACCACCTCCGCCCAGAAGTCTTCCTCGAAGGCCTCTTTTGCGCCAGCCACAACAATGTTTGGGCGGAACTTGGTGACATCCATGTCCAGGCCCCCTCCCAGCCGCTCCGACACGTTGTCCACCGATGTCGCCGACACTAGCAGATACGGGGCCGTATCCGCGAATGTGATGCGTTCCTCTCCTTCCCCTCTTGCACCGACTCGATCATAGATAGCCTTTCCCCAAAGCATAACCACCAGCAACACGATCACCGCTGCCGCGCTGGACATCGACAGTGCTTTCTGTGCGCCCGTCGTACTCAAGCCCACTAGTAGATTGAACAAAAGGGTCATCCCAGCGATCCCAACCACTGTCCCCGCAGTGAGCATGCCCGCATCATTTTTCTTTCCTTTTGGCTTTCCTGTGGTTTCTTGCTTGATCACCCCCGCATGCGCTGCACTTTTTGAGGGCTCGAAACTCCCGAGAACCCGCCTCGAATGTGGTCCCAGGTAGGCCAGCACAACGGGGTATCCGAACCACTCGCTGAACCAATCATTATACTGCGCCCCCATATTATATCCCTTCGTGGGGCTCTGATGCATCACGATGGCCAGCTCTCCCAATTGCCGCGTGTCAGGACAAAGGGGGAGGTGGAGGATGCGGGTTGATTTGGTGCCATTGTCATCACTGAGGGTCTCGCTCGCAGCTGGCCGAAAGGTCACTATAATCTGTCCTGGTTCCGTACCATCCTCGCTAGGGAGGACAATCTCGGCTTGGAAAAGGGACATTTCTGGAAAGTGTGGAACATGCATGTTCTTCAAGGTGCCATCGTCAAGGACCTTCAGGAGCATGAACCGGCGATCGTAGAGAAAGCCTGTTCGGGTGGCGGTAGCGGACGAGAGGGCCGTCCCACGAATCGACTTGATAGGGTAAGTGTATAGCTAGATAGACGATGAGTTAGTCTTCATGTATTTCTGATCACGTCAAGCGAAGGGTTCCAGCCCATCTCTCGGAAGCTTGGAACCCTTCATCTCGCGAACGAAAGTCAGGTGAAGATGATGTAGAACTCACTTGGAGAAGTTAGAGAACAGACATACCTGGCTGATATGCATGGCTGCGAGATGGCTGGGTATGCAGCGTAGTTGTTGCTGTTTTTATCAATGATACGTCAAATCAAGTTGGAGCCTCCCTCCCTTGGACCTTGAAACAAGGATACGGGCGTCATGTTGTTGGGGGCCAACTGATACGGAAACGAGCATCTATTGCACGTGCTGATTAGCTATATTAGGTATGTATCAGTCTGACTAAGACTCGATCGATTCCATTGATCAGTTACTCAGTAACTTGGTAAGTTAAATATGCTGTTGTTGGGGCTGTTTCAGGTTCAAGACAACATGGAGAAAGTGTTTTATCGGCAGTGATGGTATCTGATCGAACATGTTGCAAGAAGTGTTGGTCTCAAGCAATGTGCAGCACAGTACGCAGTACGGAGTACATAGTAAGTCAACTGTTGCGACTTGCAAGTGCGGTACAATGTCTTGCATACTGAATCATAAAATTCGGGTGATGACAAACCGCTTCGGACAAGAGATTATCCGGACCGATTGGGAGAGACAGTGCCGTGGGTGCCAGCCAGTTAACTGACTGTATCCTACGCTCACTACAAATTATTCCTCAGTACGGAGACTTGGTTGACAATAATAAAGTCTCCTTTTTTTTCCATACTATCCGACTTTCGCATTGGGAGCCAGAGCCAGAGCCGGAGCCAGAGCCATAGAAATTAAACTATTTCCCTCCATTAATTGAACCTTGTTCTTTCCCGAGACACCACAGGCTGAGCCATTCTGAAGTGGGCAAGGATGGTCAGGAGTCGCCCAATTGAATGGGTCGGTCCATCCATGACTTCCACGGAACACCTCCTTCTCAGGAACACCACCTCCCACTCACAGAGTCTCCTCAACATACTTGGTTGACTCTAAAAACAGAGTCTTTCTGACTAGTTAGGCTGATTGAGAGTAAGACCCTGAGGAGGGGAGGGAGGGGAGGGAGGGGAAAGATGAGAATAGACCCCTAGTCTAGTGCAATGAGGAGCTCGAATCCAAGTCTAGCCTCGGGCGGAGGGTTGGAGTTGTTTGTTTTCCCCTCTTGTAAGTTGGTCAACTACAGTACGTATACTAAGCAAGTTGGAGACCAGCTGATCGAGCCAAGCCCTACCTGGTGCCTTGCATTCTGCACTACTCCGTACCATCACCATTACTCCGTATTACCACCACCAACCACTATTGCCATCAAAGTACAAAGTACTAAGTACGGAGTACACACACTGACACACCGTCTCTTTGCACGAACACTGCACTCGATTCCCCTAGTCAGGCACACACGAGCTGAAGAACGCCTTCATGCGTGGAGCCCTGGCAAATATTACGGATCCGCCCCCGCTGGAGGTGAAACAGGCTAGTAAAGCAACTAAACCCTCATGGATTGCCCGCGTTGATGAGATTTCATTTAATCTCCCATAGAAAAATGACTAGTCAACCACCAGTCCAGGAAATGAGGTAGTCGGCTGTAGTCTAGTCCCTGAGTGATCATCCGTTGGCCTCCTTTTTCTACGCCTCCTCCGCCCTCTTTTCTACCTCTTCCTCCCTCTCTTTTCTCTTCCCTCTTTCTCTCTTTCTCTCTCTCACCCCACGCACTCGCTGTTTCACCTTTACAATCCCGGTCTCCGCGCCGATTACGTTCTTTATCTCGACACAGTCGATCAATCCCGTCAATTCGTCACTCTTTTTGACACCAATATAAACTCAGCGCAAATCAATTCTCCGCCAATCTCGAGCCCTCTACATACACACACACACACACACACACACACACACACACACACACACACACACACACACACACACACAACAAATCCATAAACCACCCGTCAATCATTCATCATGCGTGTCTCTTCAGCTGCTGTCGTCGCCTCCCTGGCTGCCGGTGCCATCGCGACCGAGTACAAGACCGTCGTTGTGACTGAGTATGCCACTTACTGCCCTCAGGCCACTTCTCTGGCTGCCGGTCCCGGTACTGCCAGCCAGGGTAACCCCTCTGCTGCTCAGGTGAGTGTTTATGTGTGAACCTGGTTGGATGCCTATGAGACTAACTGCTGGACAAGCCTTCCACCGTCACCATCTCCGGCACTGCCTACACCTACAGCACTCCTCTGGTCACCTCCACTGTGACCCACTGCGACAAGTGGTACGTCTCTCTCGTGTGCCCTCAACGGGAAGTGAATCGCTTTGACTGACAAGGACAATCTAGCTCTGCCACCGCTGCTCCTGCCACTGAGACCGGTGTTGCTGTTGTCACTGGCACTGGTGCCACTCCCAGCACGGGCTCGGGCTCCGGCTCGGGCTCGGGCTCCGAAGCCTCCCCTAGCGGTGCTGATGCCGTTGGCACTGGGCCTACCCCCAGCTCCGGTTCCGGCTCGACCCCCGGATCCACTGGTTCTGAGACCTCCCCCAGCGGTGCCTCCTCTGGCAACACTGGTTCGAGTCCCAGCTCCGGCTCGGGTTCCTCCGGTTCTAGCACCGGCTCTGAGTCTTCCCCGAGCGGTGCTTCTTCCGGCAGCACTGGCTCTACCCCCAGCTCCGGCTCTGAGATCTCCCCCAGCGGTGCTTCTGCCGTTAGCGGTGGTTCCCCCAATGAAGGCTCCAGCTCCTCCGGCAGCTCCTCCGGATCCTCCGGATCCTCTGGATCACCCGGTGCTGGTGCTTCCTCTCCCAGCGGAGCCACGGGAGCCCACCCCCAGGGAATCAAGCCCACCCCCGGCCCCAGCGGAATCTTCTCGACCCGCCCCGTGATCCCCTCCGGCCGTCCTTCCTCCAAGCCCATCCCCTCCGCCTCCGCCAGCCCCGTGGCCAGCGCTAGCTCCAGCTCCAGCTCCTCTTCCTCCAGCACCGGCTCCTCCCCCGAGGGTGTTTCCGCCCAGGGCACTGGCTCCAGCTCCGGTTCTGCCACCAGCCCCTCCGCCCCCGTCTTCACTGGCGGTGCTTCCCGTGCTGCCGTCGGCGCTGGTGCCGGTCTCGCCACCGTCTTCGCTCTCGTCGCCTACCTGTTGTAAGCTGCCTTTCAGTGTACCTGAAATGCTGAAAAGGGGGGCGGCTCTTGTTGTATAGATGACCCGGGCAAGAAGGGATAAACCGAACAGATGGAGTGGTTGTAGGAAGCCCCAAAGCTTCCCCCTATCTCTTCTTCTTTTCGGAACATCCTCGCTTTCGCTCCGGGCCCATACCCGGACTATGAAGAGAACAGAAAACAAAATCTAATCCATTCCAATGCCGAATCACTACTGCTGTTTCCGATGATGTATCTCCTATCGTCCCCCAGCTGCAATCAACCACTAAATTCTGTTGTTCTACCTTGAAGGGAAAAGAAGGGAAAAAAAAGGAAAGCGACGCAAGATGGTGGCAGCCGACTGCAGTGGGAGGGGAGAGATGCCTGATCTGATCTCGCCGTACGTGACTGAAGTGATTGGTAAATGGGCGGGGATGTTGGCAAGGACGGTCTCCTTTGTTCGCGTGTCTTTCCTGACTTTGACATGTTTTTGGTGTATTTGTGTGAATATCTTTTTCTTTTTCTTTTTCTTTCTTTCTTCTCCCTCTCATGACTTGCCATATAACTTGGTTTGATTCTTTTATGATGGCTTGCGCTTTTTTTCTCTCTCTTTTCCCCTTCCTAACTTCGATGACCCATATTATCTGTTTTCCCTGGGCTTGGGCTGTGCATGTCTTTACCACCTCCCTTTTTTTTTCTATCAGCCCTTCTCATCTTGTGTATAATTTTAATGTCGATGTGTGAGGCATGTTCCTCGGACCACTGATTCGATTGACCTAAATTGTTCAAAGTGAAAGAAGTCGAAAACCAACTTGATTCTCCGTCCTTCGATCCCATCCCGACTCCACGTCATCACCAGAGCTCTCCTCGTAGCCCACACAAAGCTCATCCAGATGATCGGATTCCCTTGAGCACCATTCCTGCGTCATGATGGTATCCCCACTACCACTTCCCGCGTGGCCGACTGACCCCCCCCCCGGGCCCCGCTTTGTTTATTGCTAGACCGCAACAAGACTTTGCCATACGGTGCCCCAGTACCGCCAAGGGAGAAGAGATATGCAAACTTCAGATATCCCCCATCCCCACCGTCATCAAGCGGTAGCTCAGGTTAAGTGGTAGCTCAGCACTGTCGTACGAATTGAGTGAAAAAAGGGCCTAGGTAGGCAGCCTGCAATGCAAGTGACCTACATTACATCTAAGTCGTGCTTCGCCTCAAGCAATGCCACCTCGTTGATCAAGATCAAGTGGGCATATATGTACAATCTCCTGTGTCCTCATCCAATTGTGATCTGGGTGGGATTTTCCTCCCTTCATCCACGCCCCTACAAGAGTTCCGGTTGTTCGACGCAGTCTTCCGTGAGCGCCCCCTAGGTCTTCTGATCGTCTAGCATTTCCCGCAATACTAGTCTGGGGGGGAAGAAAGGACTGGCCCAAAATTTCCTGGATTGAAGCGTTTCATTCATATTCTCCCTGGATGGCTTACTGATACTAAGGTACTCTCGCCCTTACCTACACACACACACACATACCGCCTGAACAAGTTCAAGACAAGGAAAAAAGCAAAGGAACTGGGAGAGACTGACCGACCGCTGTCAAGACTGCAGCTATCCGTGCTGGAAACAACCACCACCACCACTTTTTGTTCTTGTTAAAATATTCAACAGACGAGGGAAATGCGGGCAGTACCTGGTGGTGCGTAGGATTGGCAGAGATGCTTCAATCCCGACCAAACGTCTCCATGGTAAAATCCTTCGTTAAGGACCAGAGTGTTTTAAGTCAGAGCATCGGGCTAACAAAGTGACCTTAGCCACACAGACAAAATAAAACGACGGACTAGAAAAAAAAAAGGACGGAAGCGCAAGGCGAAGAGGATACTGGCATGAACTCATCTCCTCTCACCGGTAAGAAGCAGAGCGCCTAGACAAACTGGTGCAAAACGCTCCCTGCGGGTAACTGCCTTAGAATGAAGTTATGTTGAAACCTAGCCTACCTTAGCCCCACAGTTTCTGCAGATAGCTACTCGTATGTCGCAGAGCCCGCCAAGTATTGCGACGAGATACCGATGATGTACAGTACCCAGAGAGCTGCAGGGCGAATGGGTAGTACGATCTTGTCCAGAGATCCTCCCCGGCTGCCACAACGGGGTAGGGGAGTTGCGCTTTCTCCCCCGTCAGTCATACTCCAGAGCATCATGGATAAGTTGCCATTGCTCATTTGGTGGTGATGGATGCAGTTGTCATTTGTTGAGATCTCCCCATCTTGTAACTAACTTACCTGGTAGTCTCAATGGGCTGTAGCCAAATCGGCCCCACTAGGCAAGATCCTCGGATTACCTTATTTATTGTTCATACTATAATGGCCGGACCACTGACCCTGGTACGGCTAGCATGTCACTTGCAGCTGTGCTGCATGACGCCATCGGAAGCGCCCGGGACCTTGAAGAGAGATCAGACGAACTCGTTCCTGCGTAAGTAGAGTGAAGAACGTGATTGTCTGCTTGCTTGCTTGCTTGCATGATCAAAAAGATCAGCGTTATGAGGCAAAACCACTAGATTTGCACGCGCCCTAGAGAAAGAGACTGAGTAGATCCAAAATATAGTATGTAGATAGAGAGTAGAAAGCTGTGGGAGGAGATAACGTCCCTGGCCTTAAGTGATCAGGGACACCTCGTGAAGAGCATAGTGTCATTTTCACATTGCATTCTATCATTTAATTTATTGGGTCTTCTTTTAATCTTTTGGTCTTTTGGTGGGGGTACAGATGCGTCAACATGAGCACAGCAAAATCAATGGTTTAAGAACAGAAAGGAGAAAAATAGAGGAGAAGAGGGGGGGAAGGAAATAAAGTAAAGGGAACAGAACAAAGCACAACTCATAAGAGTTCAGCCGTAGGGTATCATATCGCAATGCCTGCTAAACGGTCGACTGCCATGTCGTTGCTGGCTTCCAAGCGAACCATTCATTGAAATCCCATGTCCACCAATAATCTCCATTGCGCCCATCACACTCTACCACCCTGATGTGGCTTTCATCCGTTTGTAAGGTTGTCGGTTGCTTTCATGCTGTTGCCTTGCACCATGGTGAAGCAGGGTTGAAAGCAGAATTCATATCCAGGTTGGGTCGGGGCCAACGGGCATCGAACACAATAGCAATAGAAATAACAAGATAAGAATAGAACAGGAAGAATGAGAACCACACGCAGATTATTGCGAAAGAGCGCAGATAACAGACAAGAAAGAGGGCATATGAGGTGCGAATCTTTCTTTGGTACAAGGAGCTCCTAGATCCGCAACCCTTTGAACCACAATACCCTGCTGTAGTCAAAACACCCTGCGGTAGAATCCAAGAAATGATCACCCGCGTACAACACAGAGAATAGATAATCGCAATTCATGCATCAAGCATAGCCTGATGCTCTGCCTGCATTGGTGGAACAAAGTGCACCCATGGTAGCAAAAAAAAAAGTACTTTCAATACAGCATAACACAGCAAACGGAAATGATTTGCAGGCTGCAATCTCATATAGGCCGTAAAGATCGGCGAAGCGTCTAGCAGCCAATATGAGTAAGGGTACGATAATAGATAGATGTCGTGAGTTGGATTGAACGGGTTTTCGTAAGAAGAGTCACATGTGCGGAAGGTTTTGAGCCCTGCCACCGGCCCATTTCCTGATTCTCGGCAATTGTGTCTTGCGCTTCCTTGCAGGGTCTAGACCAGTATTGAACGGTCCGAAATAGAGCCAGGCGGCTGCATGTTTATATATTGCCAAGATCATAGGATTGTGCACTTGAAAGGACGTCGATGACTGCCATTGCGGTCGGGTCGGAATGACCGAGGATATTCGGGGCCAGGATCACGGGCTCCTCCTGTCGGCCGCCGGTCTTGCGAGCGGCCCTGCTGCTGACGTTGCTGACGGAGCATGCGCACGACGTCGTAGAATGCCTTTTCCACATTGATGCAATTCTTGGCGGAGGCTTCGACAAATTCGCACCCGAGGTCTTTGGCGAGAGCCTGTCCTTCCTGTGCTGAAACTGCGCGCTCGACAGCCTTGTCGCTCTTGTTGCCGACCAACATGACAGGCACAGGGAGCGAAGGGCCAGAAGGGGTGTGTATGGGCGAGCCCAAGTAGCTAGCACCTGAGGGCGATCCGGAGTTGGCTGATTCTTTCACCATCTTGATCTGATTATAGAACTTCTGTATGCGGGAAAAGGAAGCTCGCGAAGTGATGCTGTAGACAAGTACGAATCCCTCTCCGTCGCGAATCCACTGATCCCTCAGTGCTGTGTACTCTTCCTGGCCGGCGGTGTCCAACACCTCCAACATGCATGATTGCTGGTCAATGACCACTTGTTTTCGGTAGGAATCTTCGATGGTCGGATCGTAGGTTTCAACAAAGTGATTCAAGCACAACTAGAACGAAAGAAAGGGGGTCAGTTGGCCGAGATTGAGCGTAGACATTTATGGTAGAAGCTAACCTGGATCGTGAGAGCCGTTTTCCCTACACCACCGTCTCCGAGCACCACCAGCTTGTAAAGTGTCATTTTTCCCGACATGATGAGTTAAGTATCTGTTTCGTGGGTAAGGAGTATGATCACTTTTTTCAAGACACCTGGCGTAAGGTGAAGAAGCCAGAAAGCGGTATTCTGGTAGAACTGCCGAGTGTAGAGAGAATGAGGGAGAAATGAAAAGGCGAAGGCGAGAGAGATGTATGCGGGCTCCACGGCGAGCACGGACGCGGAAACGGAGCGTTGCGAAACGATGGGGGTCCGAAGAACTAATTGGGTAGTGCGATTAGCCACTCAAAACCAAAGCTCTTAGACCGCTGCCCAAGCTCGCATACCCACCCCGGAAATGAGACGAACAACAAGTGTCCACGGCAAGACTTCGGGAAGAGCAAAGAAATTATGAGAGTAAAAATACTAAATGAGGCATACCTGGA